GAGGGCTCCCAGGAGTTGGCCAGTTGACCTGCCCAGCACCCTGCCTTCTCCCTGGGCCCGAGGCCCCCCATGTGGGTGAGAGTGCTGTGCAGAGCCCTCACCCATCGCCACCTCCCACTCGCTTCTGTTTAGAGCCTGCAGAGCTGCTGATTACCTCAGCGCCGGCTCTTAAGATGAGAGGGCAGCAAGGCCCTGTCATGAGTGTGCCAGCTGCCCTCAAGCTGGCCATCTTCTCTCCCGCAGGTGTTTGCTGATCTTTTTGACCCTGTCATCAAACTAAGGCACAATGGCTATGACCCACGGGTGATGAAGCACCCCACGGACCTGGACGCCGGCAAGGTGGGTCTACCTCGCCTTCCCCAGGATGGATCTTCCCTGGGCAGAACTCTGGGGTCCTGGGGGAGGGCAGAGGAGATTAAAAAGTGCTGGAGCACTACTGTGCCATGAAGAAGGACAGGCCTGAGCCGTCTGCAGGTGAACGGGTGACCTAGAGACCACAGTGCTAAGGAAGAGCGCCAGGTGCGTGAGCTCAAATCCTGCCAACAGGAAGAAGGGGCTAGAACTTTGCAAAATGAAAAGGGACCAGAAGATGCCGGGGGAGGGGAGAAAAAAGACATGGAGATGGGCTGAAGCCTTGTCCCAACTCCCCACTAGGAATGTAATTACTAACTGCAAATGGGTACTAATTTTTAAAATAGTTTTTGAAAAGTATTACTAGACAGGCTGAGGTAGGATTGCAAATTCGAGCCCAGACTGAGTAATTTAGCAATTCAGGGAGACTCGGAGACCAAGCCAAAATACAAGGGGCTGAGGAGCCACTCAGTGCCAGGGCCCTGGGCTCTACCCGCAGGCCTGGGAAGGAGGGGCCTCTAAGAAAACCGGTCCTAAAGCTTCCCCTTTACGCCCCAAACCAGAAGCTTTGGGTGGGGTATAGAGCAGCCTGGCCCCTGCTCACCTTAGGCCCGCCCCGCAGGTCACCCACGGGCAGTTCGACGAGCGCTACGTGCTGTCGTCCAGGGTGCGCACCGGCCGCAGCATCCGCGGGCTCAGCCTGCCGCCCGCCTGCTCGCGCGCCGAACGCAGGGAGGTGGAGAACGTGGCCATCGCGGCGCTCGAGGGCCTCAAGGGTGACCTGGCTGGGCGCTACTACAAGCTGTCGGAGATGACGGAGCAGGACCAGCAGCGGCTGATCGACGTGAGCAGGCATGGGGCAGGGAGGGACCCTGGCCGGCGCGTGGGTGCAAGGTTGAAGCCCTGGGTGTGCGCTGCGCTAACCCAAGCATCAGGCGCCAGAATTCAACTCTGCTCAGGCGCCGCGGGAACCATGGCATTTTGAGCAGAAATTGTCCATTGGACCCCAAGGAGGGGCACGAACAGAATCTCCCTTTTCAAGCTTCAGAGGGGGTGCATGCCCCATTCTGTCCACGCCCTCTGGAGGCAGAGGCAGGGAGCTCAGCCCAGGGAATTTAGGTAGACTGTCTCAGAATTAAAACATTGAACAGGGCTGGAGGTGTAGCTCAATGCGAAAGCCCTGGTTTCAATCCCCGGTACCGCAAGCAAACCAATGAAACTTCTGTCATTTCAGAAGATGCAAATTCCACAAAATGTGCCATCCCTAAATCACACGGGGGTTCTGTGGCTAGCGGCTGGGGGCTTGCGGGAGGGGCGGCAACGTGCACCCCACCTGAGGAGCTGCCCACCCAAGGAGCCCTGGACTTCCTCCCTCCAGCTGGGGCTGTTTTCCGGGCAGGGACCATATTGCATCCTGCCCAAGGCCTGACTTGGTCCCATCTGTAGCACCCTAGCAAGACGCCCCTCTGTCCACTGTCTTCTCCACCTTGCTGCTGACTTCCATATGTGACCTCCACGCACCGCATGCTGGTAGACAGTTGCCGGGCGTGAGAGTGACACACATCCAGGGAGCGGCAGCTTCTAGCGCGAGTCCCAGGCTCATCCTGCAGCTCAGGAGCCCTGCAGGGCTCCGGGCTCAGCCACTGCCTCCCAGTGCGGTGGTGGCTGGGTGGCCCTACCTCTCGGCACCTCCCGTGCCACAGAGTAATTCCACGCTTTCCTTAGGAGGATTAAAGGAAGCAAATGGGAGTGGGTACAGCTTGGCGCCCGCTGAGGCAGATGTTACAGTTGCTATTTGTGCTCCCACCTGACCAGTCTATCTCTGACACACTTCACATGAAGGAAAGTGGTGTAAATGTGCCAGGAGTGCTAGAAATGTGGAGAACAGAGGCTGTGCAGAACCGACTTCCCGACAGCACCCTCTCACGGCCTGGCCTTGCTGTGTGCGGTGTGAGGTAGCAACGGCGGAGGGTCCCACTCCAGCGTGGGCACAGCCAGTGGCTTTCAGCCGCCACCAGCCTCACCCAAGAGCTTTCCCCATGTCTAGAGCCCACCCAAGCCCATTCAGGGATGCTGGGGCTTGGACACGCTCCTGGGGTGTGCTGGAGGGCGCCGAGCTGAGATCCGCCGTGCAAGAATCAGAACTCGGCCCTGGTGTCTGCAGCCATCCTGAGCTCACTCGCCTCTCCTCTCGCTCTGTCGCTTGGCCTGCAGGACCACTTCCTGTTTGATAAGCCAGTGTCCCCTCTGCTCACCTGTGCTGGGATGGCCCGCGACTGGCCAGACGCCAGGGGAATCTGGTATGGAGGCAGCATCTCCCCTCTTGCCATGTGGGAGAGGACAGCCGCTACCCGAACCCAGGCTGCTGTGAGCCGCAGCTGACAGCATGCCCAGCTTGAGCTCAGTGAAGAAGACAGATTCCTTAGAAACCGCACGCGTGCATGTAAATGTGCCCTGCCTCAGGGGGTCTTGGCGGGGCTCAGGTGTGGGCTGGTCTGCATGGGTCATGCATGCGGGCCGGGGAAAGAAATAACAATAATGCCTTCATACTGTTTGACCTCACAGAAAACTGTCTCCTGATATTAAAATATTGCGTTAATAACATCCCTTAGTTATGGCTGGCAGATCGGGCCCACAACCTCCCAGTGAGTAGACAGTGAAGCCTTAAATAAATGAGACAAGTGGTATGATTTTAGGGTTTCCAGGAAAAGTCAAAAACCCTCTCACAGAATTCTCTGGGTGAGATTCTCTGGGTTCTGACCAATAACTCTTCTAGACAGCTCGTATTTAGTTGGTTATCAAGCAAGGGAAGAAGATACTGAAGAAAACACAGAATCTAGAAGGCCCCTGGGAAATATTTTCCCAAGTAGTGAATTATGTCACCCAGAACCCCCTTATCTTTTGGTTGTCATTTATTGTAGGAGTGAGGCTGGGTTGGCTAAGGCCAGCTGGGGCCCGCCTTGCCCTTTGAGGTGCCCCAGCTTCAGAGGCTCCTCCAGGCCTCTGCTGGACCGTGGCTCACAGAGGATCACTTACTGTGAGCCCACTGCCCATCTCCAGACAAGGGCCTACACCTCGGGCAGACCTGCACGGAAACATGAAAAGCTAATTGGTTAGTGTTCAATCCTGCTCAGCGCTACTTCGTAGTAGCCTCCCACACTAGGACGAAAGACCAGACAAGGAAGAAATAAATGCTGATGATTTAAGAAAAATCAGAAAGGATTAATGCACATGCACATGTGTCTCAACAGGGCTGGCAGTCTTGGCCCATTTGAGTCCTGTTCCTTGGCAGATTACCTGACTCACCCAGAGGAGCTGAGGGTGTTCGTGGGCAGCTGCCCAGTGGTGTAGACAGGCAGAGTCTATGCCAACTACATGACCTCTGTGGTGCCCCAAACATCGTGGCTGAAGGTGCAGCCTTTTTTATTTTTCAGGGCCCCCTAAGATTTTGATTGAGTTGGTTGGGAGACAAACTACTTCTGCTGGTGTCAAAGTCAGCCGTTGCCATTGTTGGCTGTGGTCCTTGTGTGCCAGGCCAGGGGTATTTTCTTCTTCCTGGGTAGAAATGTGAAGGCTTGGGTGAGTCCTGCTCTGCGTGGTGGCAGTGACCTGACCGGGGGACTTGCCACGCCCTGGTAGGAGACAAGGGCCATGCAGGCAGTGGTGGCACTGAACCACGTGGTGACGGGACTCTCACCACTGAGACAGGTGTGGCCAGGGCTCAGCCCCGCCCTCCTCTCCTCCTCAGGCATAACTACGACAAGACCTTTCTCATCTGGATCAATGAGGAAGACCACACCAGGGTCATCTCCATGGAGAAGGGCGGCAACATGAAGCGGGTGTTTGAGCGCTTCTGTCGCGGCCTGAAAGAAGTAAGATGCCGTCCTCGTTTCTCAGCAGCCACAGAAACGAGCCATCTCTGCTTTTCCTTCTTTAAAGAGGCACTAGGGTGACTTCCAAGATGGGGCTAATTCTTTCCAGGGACCAAGACACTGTGTTGGGAGCAGGGCTTCCGGCCCAGCGCTGCAGAAAGTAGGCGACTTCCCTCCCCAGGGCACCGCATGTCTGGGACCCAAGTGTTCATCAGTCATCTTCCTGCTTCTTTAACGTGGCTCTTGGCAGTGGCCCTGAAGTCACCTGGCCACCGAGAGTCCCTGTGCTCTCCGGCTGTCCTGGTGTGCGAGGGGTATCAGATGGCATTTATCAGGAGCTTACTATCTGCTAGGTCACGTGTTCGAGGCTTTACATGGCTTGTCTAATTTAATTGGGCCATTTAAAACCCTAAGAGAAGCGGCACTGGGTCCTGGGCCTGCCCTGTGTCCAGCGCTGTCCCGCTTGCAGGTGGAGAGGCTGATCCAGGAGCGCGGCTGGGAGTTCATGTGGAACGAGCGCCTGGGCTACATTCTGACCTGTCCTTCGAACCTGGGCACCGGGCTGCGAGCCGGCGTCCACGTGCGGATCCCGAAGCTCAGCAAGGTGAGCATCGAGGGCAGGACAGCGGGCCCCTAGTGGCCGGGCCGCGCTGTGATCCTTTACCATGCCAGCCGTTCCTTAACCCATCGTTTCTCTACCTGTGAGAGAAAAGTACGAGAAAGGGTCTCGTTTGCCTCAAAGTGTGCCTCTGCTTCTCAGATAGAAGGCTGTAAGCCACGGGTGGCAGCCTTACGAGGAAGCCTGTGGCTTCCCCCTCGGGTGATGGTCAGGGTGGCGTGGCAGGCAGCCCAGCCTATCCAGGAGCCTTCCTTCCTCTCTGTCTCCTTTAACCCAAGTGGGTCTCAGAGTCACATGAATGAGGGGCGCCCTGGGGGTGCAGTCAGATGCACACTTCCAGGCCCAGCAGGTTTCTGGGTGACGCTGAGGCAGTGACTCTGAGGACCAGGCTCGGAGGACCACTGTCATAGGACATCGTCCCCTTGCGTGGCCACAGCCAGGCTCCATGTTCTAGTGAGTGGGAAGGTGACAGTGTGCATGCAGCGGTGGCCATGTCAAGATTTAAGTCTCAGCCTGGAAGGCTCCAGGGCAGGCTGTGAGGCAGAGGCGGGTCAGAGGGCAGCAGGCAGGGTGTGGTGGGAGGACGCAGAGCGGGGAGTCGGGAGGGGGTGAAGATGCATGCCCCAGGGACCCCTTCTTCCACCAGTCCCCACCTCCTAACAGCAAAGCTGCTCAAAGTCCCCTCAATCCAGTCACCTCCCCAAAGCCCCTGGTGAGCCCAGGAGGCTCTCGGGGGACACCCAGCTATACACCCTAACACAGCCCCTCTGCCCATGCCATGAGCACAGACTTAGCAGTACGCAGCGGCTTTCCCAGCTCTGGTGCTGGAGGAAGGGGTAGAGGACTCTGGTGGGCAGCTAGCAGCTTCCACCACCGCGTACCAAGTAAGTTAGATACTGTAAAAAAACAGTTTTAGCAAATCTGCCATCTGCTCCCTCAAAATAGCATGAGAAGGCCAGGGAGACTGGCAAGCACAGGGACCCCGGTTCGATCCCTGGTACCACATGCTGTGCTGGCTCTGCACACCTGTAAGCTAAGCACTGGGGAGGCTGAGAGCTTAGACTATGAGTCTGAGCTGGGTAGGGAGACCCTGTACCAAATAAATAATTAAAAAAAAATTTTTTTTTTTAAATAGCGTGAGAACTTTTGTTACTCCAGGGCTAAAAGAATAAAGTGATTGAACCTACTGGTGAGGTAAAGTTGGAGTTAAGGCTACTCCAGTTCAGGTCCAGCTTGGCCCCAGTCCAGCTGTGTGGCTCTGCGCATGCTCACTCCTCTCAGGCTCCTTGCCTCTGCGCAGCGGAGGCCACGCGTGGTCTTGGCGCGTTCCCTAGACGCACAGGTATGGAAAGTTAGCCCCCAACATCCAAGTCAATGTTCTTTGGAGGTGGCAGTTCTGGGCGGTAGCTTGGACTGGATAAGGTCGTGCAGCTTCAACCCACAATGATCTCAGTGGCAAAGAAAGAGCAGGAGGACTCAGGCTGTGCATGTGCTTGGTCTTGCTGTGGGACGCCCTCTACCAAATCACCCCAGCAGACCCTGGCAACCTGCTCCTGGCTTCCCAATGTGAACCAAATAGGCTTCCCTTCTTAATAAATTACCCAGCCTCTACAGTTTTGTTACAGCAACAGAAAACAGACTAAGGCAGGAACGATAGCAGTTCCTTCCCCATTAGGTGGTTCTAAGGCTTGGAAGTTCCAGCCTAGCACACTGGTGCGTATCGAACCAATGCTTCATAAATGTGCACTGTCCTTATTTTTCATTCTATGTCTTTTCTCAGTGAATGCAGCAGTGGTGGTGAATTGCATTTGCTGCTTACGACACTGTCTTCCCCCTTGTCGTAGGACCCCCGGTTTTCTAAGATCTTGGAGAACCTGAGACTCCAGAAGCGTGGCACGGGCGGTGTGGACACTGCGGCAGTGGCGGATGTGTATGACATTTCTAACATCGATCGGATTGGCCGATCAGAGGTAGCGTCTCTGTCACTCTCCTGACACTAACTGATGCACTCCGCCTGAGAGGGAAAAGAAACGGGAGCGTGAGGCTGTTAGCCTCTTAGCGGTCCCTTCTGTGACTCGCCCTTCCCAGGGAAGTAAGGGTGTAAGGCGCAGAGGCAAGCGCAGCGTAGCCAGGATTCTGGGAGGTAGAGGGACTCCTGGAGGGGCTCTTGTCACTCCAGCCGGGAGCTGTTCCGCAGTCTTCAGAGCCAGGAGCTCTGCCGAGACAGAGGACACTAGTGTTTGTCACTGTGGAGTCAGAGGACACGTGTGCGGTCCTTCTGAGGGTGGGAGAACAAAAGGAATTTTCTCTAGATTCTGAATTTTTCCTGGTCAAGACCACATACAATGCTCTTCACTGTGATATTCTTAAATACTTGATCATTCCTAGAATTTTATTTTCAAGGTTAAGATGACAAATAAAGTATGCGCTTGTTACATGCACAGTGCGCTTACAAATAAGGACTGCTCAGGAGGAGCAGGATTCACGGGATATTCAGGCCTTAGACGGCGGGGATGGGCGAGGTGCTCAGCTGTGATCCCGCAGCCAAGTGTTAACAAACACCGAGGACAGGAGGCGACAGCCGCTCAGGACACAGGCCGGGGCCCTGCGGAGGGCGCTGCCCATTGGCTGTGGGGGCCGCTGCCGCTCGTCCTTTGTGCTCCTCGGTGAGCATGCTAGAAGCCAGCAAGGTGCCAGCCAGTGTGGTCTGTCGCTGTTATTAACTTTAACTTAACACAGCCATCGGGCCTTCCGGCCTCTTTCTTTTTTGGTCGGTGTATGTGACGTGTAACCGTTGCATTCCCCT